AATGGCACATATTGATGTGCCATCCTGGACCGGATGGCAATTTAATACGTCCGTTTCTGTCAGTATGGAATTGACGTATTGATTTCGTATTGAATATGTCATTCCTTTATTGGACTACCTTTGCAAAGTCTGTAGGGTCCAGACATCGACCCTAGCCAAATGCATAACCAGTGAAAAACGGTCCAAAAAGAATGAGGATGTGGAGACGCAGATAATCGACAAGTAGTTTGATGGTGTCGTACCCTTGTGGGGAGATTAGGACTGTTCTGCCCTGTGACAGTCTGGATGAATACCTGCTGTTAGTAGCTCCCTTATTTGTCCTGCCAGGTCATTGAGTGCTGTTAGTATAGAGATGCAGGTAGAGGCAGTAGAGGGGCACTATTTGTGATCAACTATGAAAGGTCACTATTGTGACCTTTAATTGGTCTAATTATCACAAAAGTTAAAGTAAAAAGATGAGTTTTGGTGCAGTTTTTGGTGCATAAATACTACATGCAATAGTGAGCAGACTGTTGTGTATTGAAATGTATAATATAATGCCCTGTATAATCATAATGGTAATAGGGGTAGCATGAGGATTGGGTTGGGGCCTTTCTGTATGGAGTGTGTATGTTTTCTTCATGGCTCCTCCCACAGTCCAAACATATGCAGTAAGTGGAGTTAGTCTGTCTTCATGCATGCTCAATCATCCAGTTAAGGAAATCAGTTAGTCGGTGGTGCTGGTGTCAGTCATTCTGCAGATGTTTATAAGGTTGGGGAAACCTTCAGTCAGCTGAAACTGAAGAACCGATGATTCTAAATTGTCCATAGGTGTGAATGTGGAACATGACTACGGATGATGTCTGTCTGTGTTGACCCTGCGACAGACTGGCGATCTGTCTTGGGTGTACCCCACCTGTAATCTTATCACAACTTGGATAGCCCTCCCATAGCCCCAAAGTTTGATAAGTGGAAAGAGAATGCATGGATGGATGGATGCTTAATAATAATCAAAATAATAATAATAAGAAGAAAATATTTGTGTCTGGAGTTGAAATGGTCAAAAGAACATTTGGTTAAACTTTTGCTCAGTGCCTTGGATATGGGTTTTTACATATGGATTTGTTGATCTGGTTAGATGTGCAAAGGTCATGTTAAACTTTCACATTGTTACACATGAAACCACTCACATTTAATGTAAAAAATATAATTACTATAATCATTAAAAGATCAGGCTGAAAATCTGAAAAGTCCTGATATACATGGCCAAGGTTTTTATTTTTAAAAATGCATTTCTTACGCTCTACATACTTGAATAATATGTAATGCTTGGATGAATTAAACTCCTCTGGTATGGACAGATCTATTGCTCAAGATAGCTACATTACAGAAGCAGAAAAATTATTCAATATGTTGTTAAAGAATTAGGTTTGTTACACATGAGGATAAAACTACAGCAGAATGTTAAGACTTGTATTCTTCTTCTTACAGCATGTGAACAATGTGGACCCAAAACAGTACAAAAAGAAAACTGCGTAACATGATGACGAGCAGACAAAAGCTGAGGGTACAAATAAACATGGAGACACTTGCAGAAAGTGAACATACAGGTGCAAGCAACTGGGAGATCGTG